AATCATGGTAGCAAAATGCTTCATGCAATTACTATGGACTCAAGGTCTTGATTGGGACGACCCTCTCCCTTCTGATCTCGCACATAAGTGGCATGTGTTCACTAGTAACACTAAAGACCACCTCGGTCAAATTAAGATCCCCCGAGCGTTTCCGCTCGCTCACTCCTCTGATATCGAGCTTCACGGTTTCTGTGATGCATCGGAATGCGGTTATGCCGCGGTAGTGTATTTCCGGTGTGAATCCAGTGACAAAACAGTCATTGTGAAACAAATATTGTCTAAGACTCGTGTTGCCCCGTTAAAAAAGGTAACTTTACCCCGCTTGGAATTGTGTGCAGCTCACCTCTTATCAAAACTAGTGCATTATTGTGAAAAACAATTTAACTCTCTTACTACGAATACCACTGTATTGTGGAGTGACTCATCTGTAGTTCTTACTTGGCTACAAACACCTCCATACAGACTAAAGACCTTTGTGGCTAATCGTGTAGCCCAAGTGCAAGAAATCATTCCCAGTTATCAGTGGCGGCACATAAAAGGGACGGAAAACCCCGCTGATTGTGCCTCACGAGGAATTCTAGCCTCATCTCTCATTGACCATCCCTTATGGTGGACTGGCCCACCATGGTTACAGCTCCCTGCGGCCAACTGGCCCCCCTCATGTTTTTCGCCGTCTGAACTCACTCCCACGGACGAAATTAAAGAAACTCCTCTTAGTGTACTTAGTGCAACAGTCGCCCCTTCGGAATGGGACTTATTGTCTAAATATTCATCTTGGTTGAAACTAACCCGTGTGCTAGCTTATGTACTACGATTCATAAACTATTCCAGGTCTAAAAACAAACTCTCTGGACACTTAAAACTCAGTGAATTAAATCTAGCGGAAGTGACAATTTTTAAACTAGTGCAAAAACTCCATTTCAGTGCGGATATTAAATTATTGAACAAAGGCTCAATATGTTCTGCACAATTACAGAAACTCACCCCCTTCCTCGACCCTAATGGTCTCATACGCGTCGGTGGCCGATTGTCACATTGTTCGCTTGCTCATGACATACGTCACCCTATTGTTCTACCCAAGTCTCATACTGTAGTGAATTTGCTTATAGACTTTTACCACCAGGTACACTTGCACTCAGGTCCGCAACTAACTCAATCACTACTCGCCCGAAAAGTGTGGATTCTATCGGCCAGGAGCGTTATCCGCTCGCGCATATTTAAGTGTCTTGTGTGCTTTAAAAATAAACCACGAAACAAAATCCCTCTAATGGGTGATTTACCTGCTCATCGGGTCAATCCTACTCGTCCATTCTCATCTACAGGCGTAGATTACGCCGGACCATTTAGTGTTCGCGTTTGCAGTCTCAAAGCTCTTAGACAGATTAAGGTCTATTTGTGTATTTTTATCTGCATGGCTACCAAAGCTATTCATATAGAGGTAGTCACCGATCTTACCACCTCAGGCTTCATTGCCGCTCTCACACGTTTTGTGTCGAGACGCGGACTCTGTTCCGATCTGTATTCTGACTGCGGAACCAACTTTGTTGGTGCAAACTCGGAATTACGCAAGGTAATCCGTGAAACCATCCTTACACCTGATTCGCAGGACAAAATTGTTCATTTCACCACCCCCAAAGGAATTAACTTCCATTTCAACCCCCCCTCTGCACCTCATCAAGGTGGCTTATGGGAAAGTGCCGTTAAAAGTGCAAAATACCATCTGAAACGGGTAATTGGTGAAACCATTTTAACTTTAACCCAATTTCAAACTTTGTCCATTCAAGTAGAGGCAATGCTAAACTCGCGCCCTCTTACAGCTCTTAGTTCAGACCCTTCCGAAATTTCTGTGCTGACCCCTGGACATTTCCTCATCGGAGCTCCATTAGTTGCCCTGCCGGAACCTCACCTGTCTGAAGTGCCCTTCAATCGTCTTCGTCAGTGGCAGCTTGTCCAGGCTTTTCACCAGCGTATCTGGAGGCGTTGGCAGCTTGAATATCTCCACTCCCTCCAGCAGCGATCCAAGTGGACCACCCCTCATGAGAATTTGAAGACCGGAGACTTGGTGCTCATTCACTCCAATTCACCTCCACTCACCTGGCCTCTTGGACGCATCGTCTCCACTCACCCTGGCGCTGATGGAACAGTTCGAGTCGTCACAGTGAAGACAGCTTCTGGGACTTTCACACGGCCTGTTCACAAGGTCTTCCCTCTGCCATGCAATGAAGACTAAGTCCAAGAAACCTACTCTATGTACATATTAGATTTAAGTGTGGTTTACGTTTGCTCTTGTGTTTTTTAATTAATTGTCTGTTGAAGCTGTAATGCTTCAAGGGGGCCGGAATGTTCGGTATTCATATTTTTAGAGTATTTAGAAATTAATCATTATGTTAATTAAGTCACTGGTTAATTAATCATGCTAATGTGTATATAAATCACCACATTTATTGTAATATTATTTAGTCTCAGTACCAATTTATTGTAAATAGACTCCCGCTTTCAATATTCAAATGAGATTGCTAAGCCTGCTCGAATTTCCCGCCACAGTAAGGCCTATTTTCCTGTACTACATACCCATGAATCACCTGACGCCGTGTTTGCTTCAATCGCATTTCCTATTGGCCATCGAATTCCTAGACCCCTCTAAACCGCAATTGCATTTTTCAAAGTGTGAAGCCGGCGATCGGCGTCTGTCTGTCCACGGTCGGCGTCCATAACTCACGGTGTATTCCGTTTCTCGTATCTCGGGACATTAATTGCCCATTTTACCTCTCTTAAACGTATTTTTAGGCTATAGATTAATTATATCTGGCCTCCCTCTCCTCTATAGTACATTTAACTATATATACATTTTAATTTCCCCCTTTTGTTTGTGATTAAATTACTTAAATTGTGATCTAGTGCTTTCAGACTCTTCAAACCTCAAGACAGTGTGTGCGCGTCCGTGTATTACTTCTAGACTTTCCGTACGTTTTCACCGCGACTTCCGCGTATTAGTGAGCTCTTTGTGATTATGAACTTGGGTGCGTTGCGTTCTCCAAAATTCTACAAAACAGAAGCACTCGGTCTAAGGACTCCGCCATCCGCCATCGCTCCACCATAGACGACGCCGCTGCCATACTCTCCACCTTTGGATAATTGGACTCAAGGTACAACCTTAAAGTTTTGTGTGTGTTTTAATTAGACTCTAAAACTAATCTCATTTGCCCCTCCCAAGACATTTTATTCCATCTCGGGACCTCAGTGCCCTTCAAATTGCAGATTCGCCATTTTCTCTAATTTAATTATTTTTCTCTTGAACTATTAATTAGTTCTGGTCCTTCGAGTTATTAATTATTTTCATTTTCACCCATTACGCCCCCAACAGTATCCATTATTAGACTTTAAGATGTGTTCTAGACCTTTTGAGTCCTGGGGATTTCCAAAGATTTAATTATGTTTGATTTCATGTTTATAGCGTACCGGTATCAAACACCAGGCTCTACCACTATCAGGTGACTAGAGCTCCTCATGTATTGCTCACTAGGACAATACAGATACCGACCCCTCAATTCACGCTATTTCATGGCCAGAAGACAATGCCTTTTACTGCTCAGTCATTGGTCGGACATAACTCTCTACGGCACAAAAAAACTGGTGAAAACCCAAGTGTATGAGTTCTAAACTTGACTTACAAGGAGCTCCATACAAAAACAACGTTTAGCTTTCAGACACTTTGTTAAAAAAAATGTATGTTACTCTAGATCAGGGGTCTCTTACCTGTTTTACCCAAGGGCCACACTGTCAATTTTTAGAGGAAAGTTGGGCTGACTGTTAACATTTCAGTGCAAAAAGGTACAATATGGTGACAATTGTTGTCGCCATCACAAGTGATCTGGTTTTAGCGAGACCGCAATGCTCACGACGATTACGGTATCGCCAAGATCACAAGATACGGTCAGGAATGTTACCTCAACTTTAACGATCATCGCTGTGTATGATCATAAAATAGTTATTTGTGTAACTAGTGGGCAAAGTGGCACTTTGCTGCACACGAGAGCAATGTTTACGCTCGAGCCGCGTGCAGCAAAGGCCTTTTGCACTCGTGTTACACATAATATTTTTCCTACAGTCACTATAAAGCATATAAATAATTAGTCTTTCAAACACTATACAATACGTTTTTAGGTTCAGCTGGCAACACAAATAGGTGCCCTAGAGAAAGTAGTACCCGGTCTGTATCACTCCGCTATTTTTCCTCGGCAAGAAATGTGCTCCGCGACTTGAGAATATAGTTCAATATGTTTTTGTAATTTGAAGTGGTTTCCGCGCCTAAAAAAAATGCTTTAAAGGCATTTTCTTGTTTATTAAGATCGTAGAAAAGTTTTAAAAACTTTTTAAAGGAAAGTCCAGAAATACCGAAACTATAAACATGAAATGACAGGTTAAATCGTAGTTATAATAGTCAATCAGCTGCTCATAGTATTATTATCTTTAAGTGTTACCTTTGTGTTACCAACCTATTTCCAAGCGTACACGGATTACGTGCATAATAGAACCACGCTGTTTTGTGTTGCTTCGTTGGAATCCTGATGTGCGCTAAAGTAAACCGTACGACAAAGTATAAATATGCAGCAATTAGCAGCTTTCTGTACTATAAACAGTACAAGGAAGCCAACTTTGTCGGGTGACTGTAGGAAAATTATTATTTCTTAGTAATGAGTATTGGCTTAAAATACCTACTTTGTATGGTCGCCATTTCATTGAAAAAAGTATAAAAAGTATAAAAGTATAATTTGGCCTTTGCAAGCCGAATAAAATCTGTTCCCGGGCCGAATGTGGCTACGGGCCATAAGATGGAGACCCCTGCTCTAGATGGCCAATACACAAACCTTGGGTGCTCAAGGAAAAGATGTTTCAATTTCTTGAAATTGACTACTGTGTTTGTATTTCTTTCAATTTTATAGCTTACATTACAGATTTTGGAGTATGGTTACTATTGAACTTAAATGATACAATGTTACCAGGTACTTTGTAGTCAGTTTGTATGTAAGTTCTTCCATCATGAGGGTTGGCCTCAAGTTTTACTCTGTAGGAACATCCAGGCAGGACTATGAAACTGCTGACGTGATTGTCCACTTCACTCATTGTTTTAGGATAAATCACCCACATTCTTGTGTTCTAAAAATTATCATCACATTCAGAATTCAAGTCCCTAAAACCTTATTTAATCTCATAATTAATCTCATTATTCGTCAATTCATGGAAATTTCATCATACTTGTATTGGTCTATTCGTGAGTATTTTTATTTTTATTTGTTATAACTATTTTATAAATCATTTATAGAAGCCTTATTTTAATTTTAGGCAGCATAGGTATAGGTACGTTGTATTGGATTTGTTTTTGTAAGAGTTAGTAGTGAGTCGGTGGCTCAGTCGGTAGCGTCGCAGACTTCAGGCCCAAGACAGCGATGTCGTGGGTTCGGATCCTGGTCACTGCCGATAACATTTTATCAGTACAGTTCACCTTTGTACTGTACCGGCTCACTCCTTGCTTTGCTGTAAATGATCCACGCACGGGCGCTTAGTCTATGAGGGCGGGCAAATGCAAGGTTAAAAGAGGCCGCCAACCTCTTAAAAAAAAAGAAAAAAAGAGGTCTAGAAGAAAAATATACCCTTTTCTTTCCAAACAAAAAATGCTCATAATTGTTTTATCTCATTTACCGAGATGACTTTTTGTAAAAATGCCAAACCTCTTATTCTTCATTAGTTTTTGAATGTACCAGTAATTATTGTTTTTCTCAAGAGTTGTTAAATAATAAATATGATCTCTTTGACTCTTATTCTGCTATAGTGTTTAAATTAGTTTGCTACACACTTACAGGGTTTTCTATGTATTCATAGTAAGGTTCTGTATTACATCGGTCATCCAATTCATTAAGAGACAATGCATGGAGATTGAAGCTCGTTGCTTGAGGACCATCTGAAATAAAATGAAAAATTATTGAAAAAAAAAACTAACATCAGGTTGGAAGCCAATTGCAAATGGTAATACTTGGTTATAAAAAGCCAAATCAATATGTGGGAAATGATTAAAAGCTAGTTTTTTTTTTTTTGTTGCTCTGGAGAAGTTTCATTCATTTAGTTTAGATGAGCCAACATGACATTGACTTAAAACAATGGAAACCAGTAGCTCGTTTTACAAAACTTAACCTTGTAGGTACTTAAACTTCTCTGCTGAGGAGCGGGGGGTCCACCGGTGGGGGAGCGCGCATTGCATTGTTTGCCGGATCAGTGTGGTTCAGCCATTGTCGGGGGAACGTTGTAATCTTTACCAGCCTGTAGCTTATAATGCGAGCTTTATTCTGGTGTAGGTTGGTACAAAGATTTCCCGTAAAATCCCGTCTGGCAATGCTTTTGTCCCGTTTTCGGGGATTTTCTCAGTTCGAGCCGTATTACAAAGACTCTGGTTATTGATCCAGGCAGCTACCTTTGGGTGTTTCAGTGAACTACGTCCACTTTCGGAGTAACGCAGAACAATCACCACTGCTCTTTTGTGATTCGTCTTACTGAGATATTTCAATACCAATAGCGATCGCTGTAACAGTTAGCGCGTCGGGGCTCCGCCCGGGCCTCGCCGCAATTGGCGAGCGCCTGTTTAAAGGTTTTCAGCAGCGAATGTGTTAATTAGGTATTTACTATTTATGTTTGATTTTTACTATTATTTCAAACTCAAGTTCGCGTTTATGTAGTTTAATTTCAGTTTCAAATCATTTCTTAGTTTTTTAGTTTAGATCTAAGTTATCTTGAAAACCAGATTATAACTGAGTCCGCTTTAGAATAAAGACTTAAAAATAAAGTTTTTTCATTAATCCATCCTACCTGAGCTAGAGTCCCACGATATATTCAGTTGGAGTTGTCTTGACTGATCATAAGGAGAAGCTATCACTTGCAGATTTGTTGGTGCAGTTGCCGGTATAAAAATAACAGGTGATGATTTCTCAACTCTTCTAACATCAAGTTGACTTGTCTGTTTAGATTAAAAAATCAACAATCAAAAACAAGAATATACCTGTGTATTGAGAGTTTTTGAAGATAATCATTGCAATGGTTATTTTTAGATTAAATTTATCATTTTAGTTTGAATAAGTTATTTTAGGTTTTGATGCAGAAAAATAAATGAATACTATTAAACAATTAACAGTTGAGGGAATTATTACAAAAAATGTTATATTTTACATGAAGATGCTCTTCCAGTTTAATCATTGAAATCAAAAGAAAATTTTACAGTAACAAATTCTGTGGGTGGAATCATTGATGCTCACTTAATTTAGTCAATGGTATATAGCCAATAGTGGAACACAATACTTTCATAGTTTCATAATAATGAGTTTCAATTTAACTAATTAATTTCTTCATGCCCTAACTAACAAAATCTTTAACATGAGAATAGAATCATAGAATGTTGTGTATCTATAGTCAAATCTCAAATTAATCAGGAATCTGTGGAGAATTGTTATTTGAAAGTAACTGAAAGCCATGCTTCCTGTTGGGCTATGTGTGTGTGTGTGTGTGTGTGTGTGGTTATGGTAAGTACTCACATAATTTGTTTGGCATCGCACACATACTCCACTCAGAAAACAAATCAAAACAGGAGAAATCCATTGACCCATAGTTGTATGGATGATGGTTGCATCATTATATTGATGTCTGTGTTACATCAGATAAATTGAGTTTTGCCTGAATACCTGTGAAAATAAAAGAGCATCTACTGAGACAGTTTTCATGAGAACTAAACCAACACTCTTAACACGTTCGCTACTGATCGCCACATATATGCGACACTGCGGTCATTGTCACGGACCAAGGTATAGATTTTAATATTACACATCTATACCGGGTGTCCCTTGTTTCACAGTACACACAGACAACGGGCTAGTGATCTAGCAAGTAAAAAACAGTTTTGCCAACTATCGTGACGTCACTAATCATCATATCCACAGACCAATCACATATGCGACAAACATCTCTGTAGACCACTGCGGAGAATTCATCCCAGGGCCTTCAAATAGACCGTTACGAAGATATAAGCTGTTTAATAACATTGGACATGGACGCAAATATGCGACGACAGTCTATTTTAATGTGACCGGGCGTCGCATATATGGGTGGAGACTGGCCATTGTATATGTGCGTCGCTGGTCCGTATGAAAAATTTAGTACTGCTGCGGTAGCGAATGTGTTAAGGCATATAACGGCTTAGAATATTTCATTTTTGGAACTGGAGTTACTGCATTTTATAATTATTGGGATGTGTTCTTTAGCAATAGCTGTTCTTAGACCTTGTCAAGGGGGAGGGCAATCGAGGGGTTTGGCGGTTGTGTAACACCCCAAAAATTGGGGGCCCCCTAGAAAACTTGCTATATTTAAACTGTTTAAAGCCAATTAATGACTTTGTTTTTAACGTCTAGAACTGTATCAAAAAATGTCATTTACCTTTTTATAATGAAAGGTGTTTCTTTCGCTTGTATTTATCGGTTTCATGTATCCCATTGTTTGGGGGAAACTTACAAACGACTAAATTTAAAACTTTAATAGGGTAAGCGTAAAAGAGACACATCAATTTATAATCAATTTTGATTCTTCTTTCTCTGTTCCACAATCTGTAAAGTTATACTTTAAATTAAATTAAGTAAACAAACCAACACTCCGAGGCAAGGTGTGATTGAAGTGCCAGAATCTAATCTTTAAGACACATTGAAGAGCTTGATTAAATAAATTCAAAGTTGAGTGATAAAAACAAGGTATTTGATTGGAGTTTGAAACTATCAAATTTATCATGAACAGTCCTTAAAAAATGTAGTAGAAATCTACGCAAATTTATAACAGACCATAAATAGTAAACACCAGCTCCCCAATTGAGACAGGGCCCTATTCACATGACATGTGAATTGTTTGATCCAAATATCCTAGTTTTATACATTGTATAAAACTAGGATATTTGGATATATTTAGAAAAAGAATACCAAATCCATACATACAAATCTATATTGTATAGTAAAAAAAATTTTGTTTGTTGCACCATTGATAACTCAGAAGCTATAGAACCGATTGGCATGAAAATTATGGAATATAGTTTTATTCATTTCATATACATGTTCTCAAAATATCCACAGGCTTGGAGGTTTGAAGAGGTATAGTTTTAGTATGTATTTATTGTTAACAATGGGTAAAAAAACCACAAGGTTTACATTTGCACTAGATATTAACTTTTATGTTTTTTATAAATAAAGTAGTAAGTTTTATTATATTATTACATAGATGCTACATTCTACAGAGATGAGTAGTTTGATGGAGGGGGGCAAGATTCTAAAAATTTACAATTATTAAACATCCCAAAATATATACCATTTATTTATGAGATTCAGAATATTTGGGGGGGGGGATGTTTTCGGAATATTATAAGGGCTCCCTCCAGAATTAAGAAAATGCCTCCCTAGTGCCCTAGTGCATCAGCTAACCCTTCTGCATTTTGTGGAGCAAAACCAACTAACTAGTACTGAATATGAAACCGTTTTTTAAACATTGGTGACCTATTTAAATGTATACACCTATATTTTTAATGAAGATTATTGATTTGTTTACTATTATTCATAAGCACCTAGTATTGGCAAATTGCTGTCGAGTTTTAGACTTTAAACGTTAAATAATCTATTTAAATCATGGTCACTGCAGGGACCGGTCAAGAGAGGCTCCTTCTCCAAAAAAATGTCAAATACACATCAAAAGCTTTGTAAGACTTTAGACAGCTTACTTATTTACTAGACTTTAGACAGCAAGTCAACTCAAAGAAATCTATTGGTTTATGTAAAATCGTAATTTACGTTTGTGACATACGCAAACAAAATACAATTTTAGATCACCATAGTAACAACGATAATATGCTACTACACATCAATACTGGTACTACACATCAATTTATGAATTTCTTGGATTCCATATTCCCAAACCCTCTAAATCCAAAATACCTGTTTTACCCTACTGGAATTTTTTTTTTGGTAGTGAGGTAAATTGTGCCATATAGTAAAAAATATTTTCTAGTAAACTTGAGGAATTGTAGTTCTGGATCTCATACGTCAAAATTATTTTACTCAACAACAATCTCTGAAAATACAATTCCAGTAGCTCAGTTGTGTTTTAAGGGAAAGTAAATTGTTTAGTAAAGAATATTTTGTAAAATGATAGAGTTTAGCTAGCTTAAACCCCATAGCCCATAATAGATACAAAGAACACAGAAAGCATAACACTAATATTATATCCTTTTTTCTTTAGAGTTTGTTGAAGAGAAAATTCAGATTGAATGAGTTTCTCTGAAGAAGTCCTACATCAGGACCATATATTAGTGCTAACTGCTATGCTTGTGTTCTTTTATTATGTGTAGGCCTATTAGCCCGTAAACTTTTTTTAGATTTCAACTAAATTTTCTCAGGTATATGTAAGCTGAACTCATCAATTCTAAAAAAGCTAGCTTAGTGTTTTTTTGTAATTTTATGGAACAACATTTAACTGATATGAACAAGTTATAAAAGCCATACTTTTGCAGCGTGGTACTCACATTGACTGTTGGTCTCGAAAATGGAAAAGTAGTATCTTGCGTGGTGGAGGGAGCTGCCACTTAAACACATATGATCAGAAACTCTAGTCAAAGAAGGCTGTCAGAATGATAACATTGTTTTGAAAAGTACTTATCTCTACCAATGCTATCTATTATTTCATTACCTAACACCTATTTGGTAGAGGCTACCTAATCTGCTAAACTAGATTTAGCACTGAAAATCATTAAAAAATAGCTACATACTATAAAAATAGCTACGGATAAATTTTGACATACAACGCAATAATTTCTTTTCACATTTTCAACTGTTAACTGTTAATAATTATAAATACAAACACATTTTTACAAAATTTAGGTGGGTATTTAGATTTAAATTGTTACCTACTGAATAAAAATTATGCCTAACAACAATTAAATTGATAGTTTAAGGCAATCTTGTAACACATCTAGATGGTATGTATTCAACTTATATTAGGAATGTCCACAAGTAAATTTTTTATCTTACCTAAGTCAAAAGTAAGTATTTTTTTTTTAATATAAATAAAGCCATAACTAGATAAAGCTAGAAAGTATGACAATTTAAAACAGTCAAAATTATTAGCAATTCTGTGGAGTTCATGTGAATTGAGATGACCATAGAGAATTGACATTTTAAAATCCATGTTTTTGTCTGCAATTTAACTTAAAATACCCCCGCCGCAGCAAACCTGCAGACTAAGCGAATTTCCATTTGACTGATTTGATTTACACTGAAATGTCTACTTACAAATATAACATTTATTCCTGATTTAAATAGAATTAGTTTAACAAGTACTTAGGTTTGCTGCATCAGGGAGGGTAACACTGTTTTTTTTTTCGTAAAATGTTAATAGTTAGTAAGAAATAAAAACATTTTACAAATTTGATCAAAATATGTTCATAAACAAGCAAACTACATCAGTTTACTCTTATTCTCCATAAGAATAACATGGGAATTTTAAATTTAAAATTTTTTGGAATTTTCTCCGTAACCATTAGGCGCATAATAACGCTTCGATATACTAAATTATTTGTTTTTTTAAGCTCTACAAAATGGTTTGGAAAGAAATTGCTAAATTTTATGTTTTTTGGGTCAAAAATGGGAAAACCTATTTTTACCCCATAAAACCCCCGTTCCCATGGTCCGATCATGCTGGATCGCGAACTCGTTCGAATAAACGTAGGTTTACACGTTTATACCAAATTTCATCAAAATCAGATCATTTTTGCTCGAGTTATCGTGCTAAACGGACACATATATATATATATATATAAATATATATATATATATATGAATTTGAACGGATGGTGTTTTTGGCCTCTAGGGACCTCAAAACGAAAAAAAAATTCGGTCCCGCGTCCAGGTCTTACCATGAGTACTACGGTAATAGCTTATTCCCTATATGGGAAATTCGCTAAAAGTAGACTTTACACTTATGTTATAGCTCAATCAAAAATCAAACTCATATTTTAGAAAAAAGTTCTCCATTTTAACGTTTTCTCTAAATCTAGAGGGCGATTTTTTTGTTGTGTGGTTTTTAAGATGGTAGCATTGCTAAACAAAAAAATCAAATAATAAAGAACAGTTTTTAGCAAATTTCCCATATAGGGAATAAACTATTAGCCTACTTACTGTGGGTCTCATAGTAGGGGTTATATTATCTGTGGTCTCATGGTAAGACCTAGACCCTACTTTTTTCGTTTTGAGGTCCCCAGAGGCCAAAAAAACCTCCATTCAAATTACACCATAAATAATCGCCCTTTAATAGATTCTGAGATACCAATTTGTGGCACCAGTTAAGTGTTGTTCATCCTCTTTCTTCTATAGTAAGCTAAAGAGGCTTGACTGAAATTTACTATGCACTTTGAAATAAGTTTATAAAATAAAATCATGAGTTAAAAGTAGTCATTTCAGTTCAGTTCTTAGATTTGAAAAGATTCACTTTAACAACTTTGGATTGTTTACTTACAGCAGCATTGTTGTTTTTACTTAACACGGTGACCAATGAGGTCCAAGGATTTAGAGAGAAGAAGTAAATGTAAAGCTGGGTTTTCCTAGACGCGGAGTCGGCCAGCGGAGAGCGGACAACGGAGAGCGGACTCAGCTTGTCTTAGGTAATTTAATGTTACTGTTTTCCTAGCAGCGGAGCGGAATTCCATGTTAATTTCAATTCCGCTCTCCGTTGTCCGCTCTCCGCTGGCCGACTCCGCGTCTAGGAAAACCCAGCTTAATGCTTTTTCAAACGTCAACTAAACAGTATAGTTTTAGGCAAATTTAATTGTTGATGAGTGTTTTGGTACAATGATTAAAAAATATTCGTTGCATCATTGTTAGTGGCACTGAGAGAGAGGTTATAAACGTAACCACAACCTCTCTTAGATGAGTATAGTGATTGTTAAGTAATTATAAACTGTCGTAGGCAAAACAGTGTAGGCAACTCCCGTATATAGTCTTAATTATAGTCTTAATTCCACTCTCTGTCGTTAACACTATCTTATTTACGCGATCGCCTTGCAAAAACTACACTAAAGTGTTAGCAAAACGGGAGTGCCGATGGAGACTAGTGGTTTATCGTTACAAAACGTACGGTACAGAATATTACAGTATGTATATGTACTGGTGCTTCGTCATAAATAACTGATAACTTTCAATACGCATCAGCATCATTTGAAACCCTTATCTGAATATAACGAAAATAATTTTACAACGGTTAATAGGTAAATATTTCATACTGCAAATCTGAAGAACAATATTTTTCCCTTTCGCGTAAACTCAAGGCCCCACTAGAAAAACGTTTTTTATAGTGGAGCCTTGGTAAACCCCCCCCCCCCCCTCTGCGAAACCTATGATAATTCGTCATGTTCCGACTTTAAAAACTTTACGTTACAGACAAAAAATTGTAAAAAATCGTAGTCCTGCTTGGTAAACAGCTGAAGACTGTAGAAGAAGAAACAACATGATTAGATTGACTGTGCTGTCAGCTGTCGTCTGCACATTGCAGCCCAATTAATAACTCTGTGTTCCAGCCGCTAACAATAATTTTGAATCAGCTGACTAGCAGACGCAGACGACACTGACTGACACTGACATAGACAGACAGACAGACGACAGACGCCAGTTTATCAATGCGCTTGCGCTCCGGCCTGCCGTGTTGTTATTGATTGGATTGTAACTAGAAATCAACAATAATAACAGCTCCGTTCACTGCATCATTTCACCGCAACAAGAACTTCTTGGAGATATGGCTACCGTTGATTGTTCTATTTAGAATTAATAGTCACGATTAAATTAGCAGGAATATCAAGTTTTCCACAGTAATTGGTTTCAAAATCATCAAAAATTACGCTCTCCAAGGTACTGTACATAAGTTGACTATTTCACAAACTTTCAATTTCACCCAAATCATTATCTTTGGTTTGATGGTGCACTATCTATTTTCTATACCACTATATAGGTGGGATAAAAGGTAGTAAGAACTATATACTGCTATTTCTAGGTTCCAGATAACTTTGAGTTCGTTTCCAAATCCATTTCAGAAGCAGTCTTTAACCCACACAATTTGTAATTTTGTTGGCTCAAAAATCAACATTGAAATAATAATCAATATAAACTAATCAAATTAAACACATTTTTTCCACTCCTCTAGCACATACAACCAAGTACAGGGGCAGCGGTTTGCATGTTAAGCCCTAACTTTAACTTATATGGGCTCAATAGATAATTGCCCCCTTTTCCAAGAGGGAACTGTTCTCTTCCCCCCCCTCCCCAAGAAACCTACAACTTCTTACACTTTCAATAATACGGCTGCCCTAGGACACGCCTAGGCCTAGACCATTCACTATACATAAGTAAAACCCTTTATTGCTGTGATTAAGAAAGAACTGAACATTTCAGATTTTCGCTATTTTTACTGTTGACTACTGTTTCCAGGTATTCCCCAGCCCGGGAACGGGGCAGACCGTCTGGGGACTGGACTCTGGAACGGGCCAGTCCTGTGGGATGGTCTCTGCTTCCGGAAACATCACCACCGAACACAAGGACAGCAATATTCTCTCCTGTTCTAACAGCACAGACTTCAACAGCACACAACACACACACAATAGCAAATCAGTTTTCGACCTTGTCAGAAATGGGTAAGTTTAATCATCTGTTTTAAAATTTTGAAATTATGCTAAAATATCAGGGGTGTACCTAACAAACTGTTTGTTTAGTTTTGTTGTTTTATTTTTTTATTACCAAGCAATTAATCAGAGCCAAGGCCCCACTAGAAAAAACAGGCCATGCTGCAGGATCCATGACGTCACACTAGTGGATAGATTTCATTGATTAATTCATTGTCATCACCATTCCCATATGTGTCAGGTAAATAAACAAGCTGGCTGTTTGTAAGATTTTAATGGTAAGAGTTTAGTACAACTATCCATCACTGTGACGTAGTGTTGCGCTGCCCTTGCTGCAGCATGGCCTGTTTTTCTAGTGGGGCCTTGTCAGAGCTCAGTAACATCTTAATTTTTGTAAACCTTTCCAAAACACCTGTTATTAACACAGATATATTGGTCGTAGGCCTACCTCATTGGCACTAAAACCTTTGACTTTTGATAGAAGCATAGACTAACCAACACAAGTAGACTTCTCATCCCATTGTAAATTTTGAAGCACGTTTTTCGTGTCTAGTTCATGTACGTGACACAAAGGCGCTAGTGTCGATGAAACTTTGTTTCCATTATTTTAGGGTTAATTTCTTGATTTGTGCTTTACTGTTTGGTTATATAACTAGGGGACAAGTTATTGTTTATGATTAGATCGTATTATTTGGTTAAACGAGGTTTTAAATGGCTGTAATAACGGGAAACAAATTGTAAACAAAACACGACCTCTACATAAACCGTACATGAACTAACAATAAAATTGTCTTCAGCTGTTCCATAAGGATGAGAAATCTGCTAAGGGAGTATGTTTTATCTATGATAGAAGTATCCAATGGCCCCTTTTCATACTCAGCAGTGTGCCGCACGTCGCTGCTACCAACTTTTCTTGTTCATTATTTCAGATTGTATAAAATATGAAATGGAATTAATAAATTGTCTTCATCATAATCGTGGTTTGAAACTGATCAAACAATTAAACAATAATGCAGGTGTGGGTGTTGAGAAGGGTTTTGTTTTGATCATGTTGGCAGCACTTGACAGTGCCACTGAGGTATGCCGCAGAGTTTAAAAGCTCCTGCATAAACCATTGCACCTTGAGGCTGCACGTTTCTGCAGCTTGTATAGGTTTGCCGTTGTCCATCCAACCCGCCGCAAACGGCCTGCAGCACCCACCCCATGGTTTAAAAAGGCTCTGATTTAACTCAATGCACTTTACAGAGCCACAGGTCGCAGCACTGCAGAGTATTAAAGGGACAAAAAGTCAATGCTATTCTCATCCAAATAGCCTAGTAGCAAACCTAAAAACAGGACAGACATAAATTTCTGGGTTTAATATTTATTTGACATCTTATTGACAGCTAAGAATAATTATTCACAGGACTCATGTATGTGCAAACTGTACTCAACATTGTGTATTTCTTCTTAATCAGTCTATATTTTTGCATTGTGCTATAATTGTCAACTGATACAATTCCTTTATTTACAATTAATTTGTTTTTATTTAGATACCAACATGACAACTCAAAGGTATAAGCTTTTATTTCTTAAACTTTGACTGAAAAATTGTTGCCAACATCAAAATAATATCTTGTAGTTGAGTGAAAATTTAAAAACGTACGTTTTCAGGAAAAGCACTTTGCAAATTTTTTCCCCCTTTTTTCAAAACTTTTATTATTATTTTTATTTCATTAACATTTGAAGTTTCATAAAATGTCCATGGTAACGCAATATCTTTGGTAGTTTTCTTTTTAAAGAGCATCTTTAGTAGAAAAACACAAAATCCTGTCACGACCATAACGGACGTTTAAATGAATATTTAAAATAGTTAATATTATTTTTATAACTATGTTTTGCTATAAACTAGTTTACTTTTATGACCATTATACAATAAAAAGGTCACTGAGCTTTTGGTATATTTGGTCTTTCTAGAAAAAAATAAAACAAACTCAAAAAATAGAAAAAAGCCAATAAAATCTTTTTAAGTTTGTATTACTCCGAAAAAACTTACCTGAGACCCGAAAAATCGTTATGTTTGTATAGAGGTGTGCTTCTTTTGTGTATAAAACATTTAAATATGACGATATTTTAATTTTTGAAATTTTTATGATAGAAATCATAAACGTGATGGTCAGGGACAAGCGGTACGGTCGTGAATTGTCTGGAATAATCTAAATCTTTCCAAACAATCCTTCAATTATACTGTTAGTTATAATAAAACTATGTGTTTCAATTGAACTAAACTGTTCAATTTACAATTATACTAAAGTTATTGTCACGACCAAACACACTATAATCCATAAGGCTGGATTGGTCGTGAAAAAAACCGCGATGGTCGTGAAACTTTGGTCGTGAAATTACGTGTTATTTGGCTCTGTTCTGGCGGTAGCCCTGCACCTCATGTTCGAGGATACAAAGTGGACTTCTAGGTTAATCTAGCAATTGAAATATCTTATAAACAAAAATTAACACCATGTCTACTTCATCGAATGGCTACGTACGGTCATGGACACACCAAAATTACAAAAAACACAATCTTTCCTTTATTGATCTTGTAATTCCTCCTTTCAACTCAAAACGACCGGCACTACAATCCTGACGTACACCCCGAACTAGTCTCTAAAACCAACTGACTCCATCGACGCCAGGCTTGCCACTGTCGTGCTCCAAAGTTGAAAAATTTTCCCAAATGGTCGTGACGCCAAATCGAGGGACAGACTTATTTTGTCATGGTAGTCAGTCTGCAATGACAATAAAATTATAATATGCTCCTTTTTTGTAAGTTTAATAACCATTGATGACATAAAAATATGGCTTTATATATTTCGGCATGAATAATTAGTCTAAAAACAGCATGAAAGTTGGAAAATGTACCCTAGGGACACGTCATGGTCGTGAATTTCGAGACTTTAAAAATACGAAAAAAATACCTAGAACCTATTTAAAACCAAATAAATGTGTGTAACATGTTGCCCCCGTCCCAAAAAATATTAAAACACATAATAATAAACTACAAATCCAGTATCTACGAAGTAAAAGGCCAGGGACATAAAAACGTACGTTTTTAAATTTTCACTCAGTTATTGTTTTTGATTGTTGTAAAATAGTATATTACGTTACTAGTCCTGAAAATAAGTGTTTACCGGACGAGTGTGGTCGTTCCCGTGTGAGGCGAAGTCGAGTACGGGATCACCATACGAGTCTGGTAAACACATTTTGGACGAGTTTCGTACGATAATTTACGCCATACAACTAAATCTTTACAAATCTTTATATGACCACCAACTAAAGGACTAAAAATCACTAGTCGTAATCTCTAAGAGAGGTTATGTTTTTGTTTATAAACACTCATTGCCACACAAATACAGTATAATCAGCTGATTGGTGTCTCGTAAAACTCATTACAGTACAGTAGTACGCAATGAAACCCCATTTAATTAAGCTGGCGGCAAACAGCTGTTTTCTGGACTAAATCCTTGCGTGGGAAGTTCATCAAAATAGTGTAGTGTGGCGTAAACTTATTTTCAACACATGCTACAAACTCTACTATGCTGCTGCTATTGAAGGTAACTAAACTAACTATTGTTTGTAGGACTGTAGCTGACATTGAGTGTCTTGTTGAGAAGATCGGCGCAGACTCGCTCAGCACCAGAGATGAATGGGGTTATACTCCGGCACACTGGGCTGCACTCGATGGCAACATTGAGGTTAGAGCATTAAACACTTTACTTAGGCCTGTTAGTTAGGCACAACTATATACATACCGTACCTAAGTAAAGTTAGAATGAGATGGAGCAATGATTGTATGAGATGACAGCTTTTTAACTGACTAAAACCAGTGAGTTCTTTAGCCAGGATAATTTACTTTAGGATTGAAAAAAGCCCAATGATTAAGACAAGTTTGTCTAGTTTCAAATAATTAAAAAGATATTGACTTCTCTAAGAATCAAACCAGCGAACCCCTGATTAGGTGAGCTCTGTATGATCATCAACCCAGCTATAGTAATTTTGAAGTGTTTATTATTTCCAAGAGGCAGCTGTAAGAGGTATTACAATCATCCATTAAAAATGTATTGCATGTTTTAAAATTTAATTTATTGTTTTATTTTCCTTTTTTTATGTGCGGTTTGAAAATGGCCCCGATTCAGGACTTAAACCAGTAGCAGTTGTAGAAGTAGGTGTTTACACGGTTTTAACAGTGGTTTTATAGCCTTTTTCACTCTAGGTCATGCGCTATCTGGTGGAGCGCGCTGCCCCAGTTGACCTGTCTTGTCTCGGTACGCAAGGCCCTCGTCCCATCCACTGGGCCTGTCGCAAGGGACACACAGCAGTCGTTCAGGTCCTACTTCAGGTAGGCAACCTTAACCTTTACCTTGCTTCAGGTTACCATTGACCACTTTTGCCGAAAGTTTTAATCCCAAGCATTGTATTTCAAAATTACTAAAGGTAGAACTAGACATTCTATTCCCATGTTAAAGTAAAAGCCACAGATTGAAAAACTTAGTTGAATAGTGCCAATGCAAGAGTGTGATGATACCAGTTTCATATCCTATTCCTGTTCCAATAACTTCTTAAACATTCAAAATTGAGAAGATAAATTAATAATAAATATAGCATCTTCTCTGTCACATTAACTACCTATCATAGTAACAACAAGGTAGAAAATAGGAGCTTACAATGTTGTACACTTCTGAGTAGGTCCATAAATGGTCTACTTCAGTATCCAATATCCAATGTTAAAGGTAGTTGATTATTGTAAAAACATATTTTTGAGAACAGATTTTTTTTGCTATTCCAGTTTCAAGAACTTGAATTACATTAGATAACCTTTGTTGGTTGCCTGTGTTCTTGCAGAAAGACCATTGAAGATGCCACAAAATCTGGTGAAATGCATAGGGTGACACTAACATCTTACCTGCTCAAGAACACAGGCAACCAACAAAGGTAATGTGTACCTAATAGACAAAATTCAAATTAATAAGACGGATGTTACCAGGCTGGTGTGGCAGTAAATGCTGCAGACTTTAAAGGCCTCACCCCTCTCATGACTGCGTGTATGTTTGGCCGAGCGGCCACTGCAACGTTTCTGCTTGGAATGGGAGCTCTGAACCACCTGACGGACATCAACGGAGACACTGCCTTGCACTGGGCCGCTTATAAAGGTCACTTGTTGTTACTATCATAATAAGATAAATACAATAGCATGCCACTCTTCTGAAGCAGGACCATCTACAGATAACCCTTACAGAATGGTAATACCAGCAACAAGAGATCCCCGCTATGTACGGCCTTACTACTCTTATTTTGACGAGAGCAGTGATGATGAAATATTACAAGAGACCAATCAAAATAAGTCAACTTCACTAGTTACAAATACTGTAACAGAAGATATATCTAAAAACCTTACTTATAAAAGATCCTCTATAAAAGATAATAAAACAAGATTTACTAGGAATGATTCACAACTAAACACCTCAATAGATACCAGCAGTATTAGCATTGATAACACAGGTAACAAAAAACTAAAATGTTCAATTTGTAAAAAATATTTTTCAGTGAAGGGTCTTAAAATTCACATTAGCAAATCTCATCCAGAGAATGGAAGGAAAGAGATAGTTGACAAAATAGTCAACAACACAAGTAACAAAAACAAAATAAAAGGATTTAAATCTAATAAGACCAAAAATTCTCTACAACATAATGAAGACAAAATAGCACTGTCCAAGCCTTCAGTGAGTAAAAAAATTCAAGATAAAATAGACACATTTGAAAAGACATTTAGTATAATTTTAAATAATGAAAATGCACCGAGCATTGAATACTTAAATTCAGTTGTAGTTGAGTTAGTATCGGAACTTACCAAAGCAAATAATCATCTTAATGGACCAAAGCATCCTGCACAAAAATTTTATGAGGCTAGGAAAAATAAAACAACATTTGCCTACAATGACAAAAAGTATTCAGAAACATCAAATCCTCAAAGAAGATCTAAACGTGATCGAGCTAGAAGACGAGAAAAATATAATCATCAACTGATTCAATATTTATACTACAATGAAAGAAAAAAATGTGTGAGAACTGTGCTTTCTGATGAACAGAAATTATGTAATATTCCAATAAGAGAATTACAAGAATCCTTTCAAAACAGATGGTCAAAAGAAAATAATGGAATGTCAAATTCATATAAAATAATTGATGAAACTTTACAAAACTCATTAGACACAGAGGTTGAAGTCAAAATTACCTGTAAAGAACTTTCACAAGCCTTGAAAGGAATGAAGATTGACAGTTCACCTGGCCCTGACCGAGTGTTAATCAGAACTTTAAAGACATACAATTGTATCCCAACAATATGTAATCTTACAAATATTATGTTGAAATTTAATTTAGTCCCAGAAAGTTTTAGGGAAGCAAAAACTATTTTAATATATAAAGGGAATGATCCCGCTGATCCTGCTAATTGGAGACCAATTTCAGTCTGTTCAACTCTTAGAAGATTGATAGAGAGAGTGCTGGAGAAAAGAACAAGAAATTACATAGAACTTAATGTCAACCAAAGAGGGTTTGTAGCTCAACCTGGAGCCTTCATAAACCTAGCCCTGGTCAATGGATGTTTACAAGATGCAAAAACGAATAAAAAAGACTGTATGATTGCTATGTTAGATGTTTCAAAGGCATTTGATTTTATTGGTCACGCACATTTAAAAAGATGTCTCCAATCAACAGAAATGCCTTCAATATTAAAAAACTTGTTAATAAATTTAATACAAGATAACTATACAAGAATTAGGATTAAAAATACTAAATCTGAAAAAATTTTATTGAAAAGAGGTGTTTTTCAAGGGTCTCCCCTTTCTCCAATCTTTTTTAATCTAGCTATAAATGATATCTTAAATACTATTTCAGAAAAAGAAGTATCTAACAAATTTGGATATAACATTAATTCTAATTTAGACAATATTAGCATCGCTGCCTTTGCAGATGACATAGTGTTATTCTCTAACACAGAAAAATCAATGTCTAAATTGATTAGGACAACAAAAGAACTACTTTCTCAAATTGACCTTGATATTAATATAAATAAATCAAAAATAATTAATATTAAGAAAGGTAAACTTGTTGAAGAGGACATCTACATTGAAAATGAACAAAATGTTATTAGATTCAATACTCTAAAACTTGGGGAAAAAATTAAATATCTTGGTGTAAATTTTGAAAATGAAATAGTTTTTGATAGGTGTGAAGTTATACAAAACTTTCAAAAAGATCTAGAAAGATTAGTTGGAACTAATGTTTTAGGTCCAAATCAGAAATTGAATATCATAAATCAGTACCTCTGGCCTAGACTAACATATATTTTGCAAGTAACACCAAACGAATTAATAAGTATTATATTTCTTGAGGACATCGATAAAATTATTAGAAGTGCAGTAAAAGAAATTCTCACTCTACCAAGTGACACACCCAATTCTTTCTTATATTCCCCTAAAAGGTTCAAAGGTCTGGGAATAATTCGAGCAAAATGGGAAAGTTCTATACAGCATATAAATATGTGTGTAATTCTAAAAAACGTACAAAATAGCCATGTAAACGAGCTAATAAACATCCCCCAAAGAATTACCATGTCACTTCAAAAACTTCAAATAGAAATTGATGATATTTTTACACATGATTTTGAATTTAAAGAGAAAAAAAGAATTGGTTTAAATTTGAGATCAAAATTACAGTTGAAAGAATTTGAACTTTGGTCTAAATTACCATGTAAAGGTAGAGGAATAGAATTATTCAAAGAAGTGCCTAGTAGCAACACATGGATTTATTTAAAAAATGGCCTTACTACAGGAGAATGGATCACTTCATTAAAAATGATATCTGGTGTTGTACCAGTACGCAGCGTACCAGGGCGAAGCCAGGATGGAACCCTTTGCAGACATTGCAAGGAGCCTGAAACCCTTCCGCATGTCCTTGGCTCTTGTCCCTTTGGTGCCTTACTGCGTAATGCAAGACACCATGCTGTAAGAGCAATGATCGCAGAAGAACTACGAAAAAAAGGCTGGCAAGTAGTAGAAGAAATACATTGCACTGAAGATGGTGGATCGAACAGAAGATTGGACATTTTAATTTATGATACAAAATCTAAAAGTGGAATTGTAATTGATCCAACAATAAGGTTCGAAACATCATCAAACCAACCCCTAGAAGTAGATGAAGAAAAGAGGAAAATTTATAGTAAATGTGAAACTTATTTAAGAAACAAATATAATCTAAATTCAATATCAGTAATTGGCATAATGATTGGTGCAAGAGGGACTATTACAAAATTTTTTGACGAATTTTTAAAAAAATATAATCTTCCATCAAAATTAAAAAATGAAATAGTCATAAAAGTGCTAAAAGAATCATGTAAAATCATTCAAAATCATTTATATGGACAACGTTATTAATCTATGTTACATGTTATTTATATCGTAAATTTAAGTTTTTTTTACTGTGTCTAATAGGCAAAGTTTATTAATTAACTCAGTTTTCAAAATAAAAATAACAAACCTTGAAAACTAAAAATCTTCTGCATCTTAAATCATTTCCAATCATTTATTAGAGACAATTTTGTGGAAATTTTTTCCATCACCATTGATAAAATTAAGTTTTTGTTATAACTCTGGATCTAGATTCTGATCTAGTCAGCAAGTGAAGAAGTACCTAAAACATAACAAGGTTAAGGTTAACACATAAAGCCAAACAAAGCTGAAGAATCACAATTGAAAGATTACACTACTGAAAACTGTGTATAGTACCGTAGTCAACTATCTTTGGGGTTTTCTAGCTTTGGCTGGGTTTTGTACTAATCTTGTTCTGTTTACTCGCTTTTTAACCTGAGGACGAAACCAGTTCTTTTAGATCCTAAAACATTGAGAAAACTTTTGTTTTAGATTTTTCTAACCAAGATTGTAAATGTCCTCAATGATGACATAAATAATAAAACCTTTCCATGACCAAGTATTTAACTCAAAACCGTGAATTTTCTGTCTCTTTGAAAAACAAGACGAAGAAAACTGCCACGCATAGCTCAAAATAAATTTAGAATAATATTTTACTTTTATAAGTCAAAAAGATATATTTTAAATTATAAATTCATATTTACAAACATAACAGTCACAATATTTGAACCCTAAATCAGTGGTGTCCTGGCTAGAGAGATTAAGTCATTGATCAAACCTATTTGTCAACCACACTAACAACACTGGTCAACCAAAAGCCCTAACATAGTAGTTTCAAACTTTACTTAAAGGTTAACACGTCCCATGTACAGCTTTCAGCTGTTCAGTTATACCTGCATATCAAGTTTGCAAACTTATTTTGTGGTTCACCATTTTTGTAACGTAAATCTTAATTGTAGGACACCCAGATCTGATTCGACTGCTGATGAATTCTGGTGTAGATTTGCAGAAAGCTGACAATTTTGGTTCCAGTCCACTCCATCTGGCATGTCTCTCAGGAAACGTATCATGTGTCAAGCTGCTTTGTGAAAAGGTAGAAATATTTAGTATTTCAAACTATGATAAGGATTTCATTCCATTTTCTAGTAGACAAGCTACACAGTTCTCAAGTTTGTTATGTATGTGATAGTCATGTTTTTATAGCTTTAGATCTGATATTATATTCACAGACAAGGAAATGACAAATTTTATGATTGGAAAAATGCTGTGAAGAAGTATATGCTTCTTTTTGCTTTGATTTGTTTCATCGGAAATTTATGGTCACCTGCAGCCAGCCTCGTCACGCCAATGTTCAAGTCCTTCTCGAATCTATATTTATCTTATGTACATTTTTATGTTTATTCACTTTCCTGAGTTATCCTTCTAGCTTAAGAGAGCTGTTCACAATGCTAGTAGGATGCACAACGCACTTTCCTTCATACACATAGCTATGGATTACAAAGAGTTTGAATGTATAAAAATATTAATTGTTGGTCATTGTTTTCTTATCTCCAATTTGATCACCCTTAGTGAGCCACCTTTTGCTGTTCTGAAATCAACAAAAGGCTCAATATTGCTATTGCTGTTGTCAAATCAACAAAATCTTCAATATTGCTGTTTTTGAAATTGATGAAATGCTTAATATTGCTTTTGGGATGTCAATGTAAGGTTTAATATTGCTATGGATTATTCAAGGTATTTTGACATAATAATTTCAATCACTTGTTGCCAGAAGCACATTTAATGTTACTTATTCTCGCCGACACTTCTACAATGGTGTAGTGTTTCACAGAGCAAGATTGACCTAGAGCCAAGAGACAAGAACGGCAAGACACCACTTCTGCTGGCCAAGAGTCACCGTCACGACGACATCGTACACGTGCTGGAGACTCAGCTGAAGAAGCGTGACAGGTGGATGCCTCCCATCTCCGAGACTTGGTGAGTTCTGGCTGTTTTGTTTGAAATTATCGTGATGAACATAAGCAAAACAATTAAGTATTTTGTATTGTCTCTGTACAGACATTGTGAAAATTGAGGAAATAAATAATTTAAACAAAGGTTTTGACTTATCCAAGTTCTACTGTAAATTGAGAGTAGACAATAGACAAACATCTTTATTAGTAATTTCTTCAAGAAAAATATAAGCCAATGTGCAATGGGTGACCCAATAAGTTATGTTAAACCTCTTTATCACCTAAAAAGCTATTTCAGTTCATACTGATCATTGATGGTTTGCATTCTAAAATTGTAACAAAAACAAAACCTAATGCAGGACGGATATATTGGTGCAATTTGTGAGCGCAACTGCTGATGATCACTTATGGTAAACAACCCAACTTACTCAAGCTTGTGTATCCAGGGGTCTACTGTTCGGTGGAGCTGGGAACTCCAAAGGACCTCTTCTACTTTTTATGTGTTCTGTCCTGCTTTGGGGGTACCCTATGTACCTTTTTAGGGTGAGTATTTAATTGTTTTGTACTTAGAAAGTTTTGTTTACTTTCATCTATTAAATTTTGAAACTACAGCTATTGCGTGTACCTATATCAGATCAATGCTCCAATATAAAGCGTCAAGGCCATGCATCAAATCATCAAGGTCCACTTGTCCAGGGTTTTATTATTGGGGGTTCACTGTAAATTCATTCACTACCAACTAGCCTACTCACCACCATAATATAATTATATATATGTTAGCAGATGAGGAATGTGGCTTAAATGATTATGACTCATATCATTATAAATGTTATTTTCTAGTGTGTCCCCATTACATGGAACAACTTGCGAGGTTCGCATTACTGCTTCATCTACTGGAACCTGTTGATGTGGTTGAGCTGGGCTGTCGCCAACCGGAGGGATCCGGGGTACATCCCACTCAACTCAGACAACTACTACCGGGCCATCAAACACGTAAGTAGCTTCTCTAACATTTCAAATCTGCAACTAGAGAACAAATCCTAGAACTTAAAACCTGAAGATAAAATGTAAACTTGCCAGTCTCTTAGAACCTAAGACCGCTAGAATTTGTTACTAGTTGACATCTAAAACAACTGATCCATTTTCCAGCTAATATCTAAATTATAACCAAAGAATTAAAAGAGCCGACAAAAATACCAACTAACAACCATAGGAAATAAGTTCAATAACTTAAATAGAGTTAAGAACCAATGATAATTTATTTCTTGACTTCATTGAGGGATTTGAAGGCCTCATCAAAAACCAATATTGCTACTAAATAAATAATACTTTACCTTAGCTGTTTAAAATCGTAGCAAAACTAAAAAATTGATGACATAGTTAACGGAAAGTAAAAGAAATGTCTTACACTTAAAACATATATTTACGCTTACACTGTTACTCACAAGAGGGTAAATATACAAAAAAGATGGTAAATGGTGATCGATTTCGATTGGATGCTCCAATTATCATCAGACACAATAGGCGAATGTTGGGTCTGATGATGATTGGAATGTCCAATCAAAATCGATCACCACTTACCATCTTTTTTATATATTTACCGTCTTGTGAGTAACAGTATAAGCGTAAATATATGTTTTAAGTGTTATAAGACGTTTCTTTCATTTAATTTCGTAAATTTAATAACACGTACAATGCTGAACAAGAAAAAGAAGTGACATAGTTAAAAAATGCTGCATTAGTTCTACATCAACAGTTTTTTTATTGACGAATTTTGCTAAACAAAAGAAAATAAACATGAGATTTTATGACAATATTAATAAGATTTTGGTTAGTTGTTATTATTTAGGTATTGATTAACAATTTGATAAGATTTAACTAATCAGAAAATCAGCAAGAGTGTTGTTTTTAAAAGATTGTGTATGAATTAAAGCTTTTAGTGATGCTTTTAGGGTAGCTTATTAAACTGCTTTTAGTGATAAGGGTGGTTTATTAAAAAGTATTTCCGCAGAAACTGAAACTGTAAGTGAGGGAAGAAGCTACTTGAGGTACAGGTACAGCTACTAGGTGTACAGCTGCTTAAGCGGTATAAAATATTCCAATAGACACGAAATGCAAGACAGATTCTAAACCAGTTTATTATGGCAGAGGAGTGCTTCAGGGTTTAGTTTTTGGTCCATTACTTGTCTACAAGTTTTCTCATACCAACTATATTGCTAGATTCCATACTATGACAAGTGGAAGCGCCGTGACATCGTGTTGTCTCGGTTGTGTCACTCTTGTCGCTGCTTGCGGCCGCTCCGAGCCAAGCACTGTCGCATTTGTAACAGATGTGTCGCATACTTTGACCACCATTGCCCCTTCATCTACAACTGTGTGGGAGTAAGGAACAGGTGAGTAAAGTTAACCCCCCCCCCCCTGACGTAGTATAATGTACCTAACCTAGTAGCCGCTAATGTAATGTGGTGAATCTCACCTATAAGCAGCCCTATGGTCACATTAAGGTTATGATGGCACTCGTCCCATTTGGCCGATGGTGAAATGGTGGAGTTTCCTAATGTGTTAATCTGGTTGTAATGTAGCTTTGAGATCTTTCCACATGTGCAGAGGTTTAAATCTTGTACAATATTGTGTGGCTTAGCCAGGGAGACGGCCCACTTTGAATACACTGTGTCTAGCTGGGTAGAGGTTGACGTTACAAGTGAATTTAATACAGACCACCTGTACCATCTGTTTTGCTCCCATTTACAGTAACATAGAGGAGGATGATACAGATTTTTGTATTATTCGGGTTAAAGATGAACATTTTTTTAAACGCATATGCCATAAGACATAAAACATTACATAAAACGTTTAATAAGGAAAACGATTAGGAGCATATATCCTTACAAGAATATCTGTATGTATCAAATAAAACATTTAATGCTACTAGTGTCTGATGATTATGTTTTAGTATGCCATTGATTATTTTGATGAAATTTTCCTTAATCATGGTTATAGTATATTATGTTGTGGTGGCTGGCCACCAGGTATTGATAATTATAAGTACTGTATAAAAAATTCACTGTCAACGACAGCAATTCTATTGTTTCTTAGGTTTCGCCCCTAATTCGCAGGGGCATCATCATATGTACAGATGCGAGGGTAAACATTAGGCAAAAGTTAAGTTCTTAATTGTTTTATAATTAAATAAGATCTAAACATGTTTTACCCTTGCAACTGTATCCCATTATTTGAATGTAAAATTTCACCAATGGCCTAATTAATTTAATCGTCATGATATTGCAGTCTCTTGCATCATCACTCCTTTCGAGCTGGTTTTTGATCCTGTTGTAAAATATTCAATAGTTAATTTCTTTTAAATGCTGGACACTTACTTCACTTAACTCATTCTGATTAGATCAATAGTTTTGTAAACACATAGTCAGGAAACAATAGGTTTTGATGACTGCACAAATTGATGTGCCAATCAACACTCTTACCTGAGTATAGATCAGGCACCAAGACTTGAATGTTCCACCTGAAACCCGTCCACATACACAATAGACAAAACCTTAAATATTCCAGAATGTCATAATCACTTATTGCAGAAATAGTCACTTTCTTAAGCATATTGCTTTCCTCTCAAGGAGGTTAAGGAAGTTATTATTTAAGATTTGACAATATGATTTGTCTTATTGCAGGATGTGGTTCTTTCTGTTTGTCATGAGTGTCGCCATCAACTGCACATTCACCATATACTTTGCTTGCTACTGCATAGCAATCGAGGGCTTCGGGTTGCTCTACCTACTGGGACTCCTTGAAGCTCTCGTGTTCTGCTGTTTCGGCTGGATATTGACTTGCACATCGGTAAAATTTTTTTTCAAAAATTTTTGGAATTGCATATTATTGATCAAAAACCTACAAGGATTACCAACAGGGTGCAGCACTATTATTTTTTTAAATTTATGAGAACAGCTAATTTGCAACCAAAAGGTGAGTGAGCGTAGCGAACGAACTTGAACCTGGAGGCGAGTTAGCGTAGCGAACGAGCTAACCTGAAGGCAAGTGAGCGCAGCGAACGAGCTCCAACCAAAAGGTGAGTGAGCGTAGCGAACAAACTTCAACCAGGACGTGATTGAGCCTTGCGAACGAGCTCAACTTAAAAATTAAGAAGTTAAACGGGGCAAAGCCTGCGGGTACAGCTAGTCTATATATAAAACCAAAAGTACCCATGAACTTTTGAGAAAACTACAAGTCACACCCCATAAACCATATACTTAAAATGTTCGTCATGACGAGAAACCTTGCCCAAAACTATCCATTATTTCATAAATTGCCCTATAAGGTCATAATTGCTTTCCAAAGGGATCTTTCCATTTACCTAATGTTAAAAATACCTTAGCTGTTATGATTTGTTTGTATTTACCATTACTGTATTCTGTTTTGTTTATTTCAGCTTAACTTGACCAATCAATAGTTTTATTAATACTTATGTAGTAAAACGCTCAATTGTCACAATGATACCGGTGATATTTGTACAGGTGCTGCATGCTTGTATGAACCTGACCACCAATGAGATGTTCAACTACAAGCGCTACCCCTACTTGAGAGACAAGAGGGGCAAATATCTCAACCCCTTCTCTAGAGGCCCGCTGCTCAATCTATTTGAGTTTTTTGTCTGCACACCGAGTGTAAGCGAGGAACACCATTTGCTGATAGATGATGCTGCTTAAGCTGCAAACTATTCTATTTTGTTTACTAAGATTAATGGATTAAAACAGTCTAAGGAAGAGTAAAGAAAGAAGAGAAAAAGCAGGTAGTCCTAACTATACATGAATGTGTTTTCTGCTAAGTGTTCTCAAAGCAAAACCATGTATAGCGAGAACTTATTTTCCAAGCTGTATTTTTTTATGCTTGACCATCACACGCTTACATTTGGGAGGCAGCCCGTGAAGGGTGTCATAAAAGTCTAAAATCTATTAAACATGGGTTGAGCATCACGTTATTTTTCAATGCTATAAACCGCATCGTAAATGGTTGATCAAAACGGAACCATCCGCATGAACAAGGAAATCAGTAACTGTGAAGTTTAAATACATTCCTAATGGTGCTTCTACAACTTTTAATTAGCCGTTTCTGTGGTTTTATCCGGGTATAACTTATCACTAAACAGGTCTTAGTGACATGTCTTATAATTTAGAATTGACAATGTTAGGAAAAAAGTATTTTTTATCTCTTGAGTGTTAACACTTGATGTATTGATATTTAAAGGGTACAATTACTGGTTTTTGAATACATGCTGTAATTTCTGGCTCGATCAACCTTTTAAGATGCAGTTTCTGGTTAACTGAGCTCATTATAATGTGGTGTACCACTGACCATCATATTTAAGGAAATTGTGTGAAAAACATGTAATATAACCATAACCATACAATACTGTGCAAAACTGTTCAAACACACTGTATAAAATGGCTAAGTACTCCAAAAGATAGATCTGAAACTTGTAAAAGATATATTTTTATCATGAATGGTAAATGTTGAAGAGTAATAGTTTGGGATTTGCCAAAAAAATGAATGGATGCCAAAATTACACATTTGATATACACATTTGATAATTTGTATTCTGTAAGAAGTTGAAAGAATGGATCCGTCTTAAGTGGCTTTACTGAATTTGGTGTTATAAAATTAAAAAGGATATTTTTTTCACAATAACTGTTACAACTTTCAATTGGGTAAAATACTAGTCTAAATTCAATCACTTGCAACGATACAATAATACAAAATATTTACTGCACCACATTTCCAAACAATTTTACAATCGGCTTTGACCTTTGCTATGTATTATCTTTATCATTGACTTTTTGACTTTTACATAGGTTGAATAGCTGCCTATTTTGTACTTAAAAAGTATATAGTTGAATGTGCCACTTGCAAAAATACAGTCTAAGATTATATTTTCTGCCTCAAGTTTTGTAACTGAAGTAGGCCTAGATGATGTGGCAAAAAAAATGCCATAGCTTACAAGATGTTGTCCTATTAGTTTTACTTGGTTAAAAAGTTGGCGTATTCAACAGAAATCAGTAATGTACATCCATCACCTTCTGCCTGTGCCTCAATTCAACTATGTCCATTTTCATTAATAAATAACTGGCAATACTTGGGGATGTAATGTCTAGTTCTATCACACTCTAGTTCGCGCTATTCTTCGATGCTACCACAAAAAAATACATATAAAAATCACTGCACAAAATAATATTTATGATATACTTGTATTCTGCTTTTGTATTCCAGCAATAATAGTTTTCAATTTGTAATTTGTTTTATTAATATATTTTCAGAGGTGATACCTGTGAACTATTTGTAAGGTTGCTTGTTATAATAAAATAAAATTTAACTTTTTTATTGTTTCAGGTGTTTTTATTAATTAATTACCATCTTACAAAAAATTCAGATTTTGTTGTCTGAGCAATGGGATATATTTAATACTTTAGTACTTTTAATTGAAGTGGCGACCATAGGTACATATTTCAAGCCAAGTATAAGTGTAGGATGAGTGGCGCGATCTTAGTCTTGTTACTGACTAAGGCCGACAAGTTCCTCAGAAAGAACTGTATTAATTGGTCATGCGGACATAGAAATTACCTCCCGCAATTGCGGCAAAATGTTAATCATATCCCGCAGTCGTGTGGTGATCATCATCGTCTTTCGTGATCGCGGTGATCAGATCATCCCTCGAGGCTCTTTAGATTGCATCATCGAAAAAACAGAAAAATTCTGACTGTTTCCCGTGTTCATGTAGATATTATCATCGGCTTGCTTGATCGCGGCATAATTCTGATCATCCCTCACGGCCGTGTAGACATCATTATTGTATCTGCCGCTGTCCTGTAGACATCGTAATCGTCTCACGCAGTCGTGTAGACATTTTTATCATCTTCATATCCCGCTGTCGTGGGGTGGTAGACTATTTTGCTTGGAGCGACAACTTCTTCTTCCTGGCATCACCGAGACGTGCTACCATCAGTGCACCTAACCTCAAAAGTGCGCACTAAGTATAAATTCACTAAATAAATTCGATAAATTCACTTAGTAAAAATTAACAATTAAGTATTCTATCATGTCAAAAGCCAAAATGTAATAAAATTAAATTACTCAATTTATAATATTAAACTAACCTGGTCTTCCGACTTCAAACAGCTATTGCCGGCCAGATGTTGTCCTTTATTCTTTAGTCTTTGTAGGAAATATTCTTTAAATCATAAATGGCAGGGTGTTTTGTCACTTATTTTATTAATCAGTGGACTTCATCTGCACTAAAACTTAACTTCATACCAGACGTTTTGCGAATAGCCGACAACGCCATAGCGAAAATGAGAAGTTGTCAAAATAGTGTATAAAATCAATCAGAAAAGTAATTGTCACTGAGCTACTGTCGCTCCTGACTGGTCGTGGAGCAGTACCCCGCGACTGCAGCTTGCGGCTCTAGCGACTGTCGCTCCAACGCAAAACGTACCTTTAATATTATTGATTGAAACTATGTCAAAAAGTAGATTAAGATACTGGCTTTCAAATAAAAATATAATTATTACAATAAGTAGGCCTATACTGGTTTTTGTTTTATTTTAAAACGGTAGGGCTACTTAATTAAAAAACATACGTTGACTTCTGAAACTAGTGTTATACTTTTGTTTGTGCTGATCATTAAAAATTCAATATTTTTATTAACAAATATTAAGTATTTGAAGATACAGTGAAGGGAGTGTTAAAATATTCAGATTTTTAAAACGGATCTGATAATGGTCCATACATCACAGTTCTTAAATATGACTTCTGAATTTTAAAAACATCTAAAATGTCAGTTGAGCTACCAAACTTCAATACCAAATTGGAGCTGCCAACCTCTAAAAGAATCATGAATTTATCATAGAAATTTCCTTGAATTGTTTCCTCGGAAAACCCTAATAAACGCAGACTTCAAACTAGATAAGGCAATTTCCTCATTGTAATGGTGTAAAAATATGATTAAATGAGTGTCAAAGGTTAAAGCGGAACCATGAATTAATAACGTTAATGAAGTTGGAAAACCCAACTAAAATTCTAGTTTCCTCTTGTATACAATGATATCATATCAAGAAATTTCCAAATACTACTAGATATCACCAAAAATCCTAAATAAAAATGTATATTATTCTCCCTAAACTCCATGTTTATGATTTTTATAAAGTTTTCTTTCTTACTTATACATTGCTAGGTCAAATTATGTGACAATGATGTATATGTTTTATTCCATGGAACATGGTTGTGAATTATTATTCTATGCAATCTACATGAGAAAACCTCGATAACAATTAAGACTCCCATGGGATTATTAAACAAGACTTGTTATGAAGGTTGACTTATTTTTGAGGTTTGCAAAAACATGTGATTGGGAATCAAATAAATTCTAGGGGGTTTGAAATAGTATATTTCATCACTACTACCTAAAGTAAAAGTGATTTTTCGTCCCGACCTCAAGTTTTTACGATCGAGGCGAAGCTGAGGGTTGAAAAGACAATTTTTGCCCGTGTGACAAACTATATTTTTTGTCATATTGCACCATTATATGAACAAACTATGTTACAAAAAACTGAAATAGTTTTCATTTTCGCCTCTCAAAACTACTTTTAGCTTGTTTTCAATTGTATTTTGCTAATGGAAACAAGCAGCTAGTAAGTGGAAACAAGTTTAGTAAAGCACGGGTCACACTAGGCTGCTCGCCAGCCGCTGGTGATCAGCAGCTGGCACCAGCACCAGCAAGCAGCGGCTTTTGCACGGGTCACACTAGGCTGCTTGTCAGCCACTGGTGATCAGCGTCCATGGGACCTCGTAACGAGTTCTCAATCGATTAAGAGCTTAAAAAACAAATAATTTAGTGTATGTTGAAGTGTTTTTGTACAGTTGTTGGTTACGGAGAAAATTAAAAAAAAAAATTAAAAATTAAATTCCCATGATATTTATGTATAGGCCTATTATAAATAACATTTATATATTTGTTTTTGGCCTCTGGGGACATTAAAACGAAAAAGTAAATCGGTCCCGGGGTCAGGTCTTACGGTCTTACTATGATACCTATGGCAATAGCTTGTTCGCTATATGGAAAATTCGCTTAAAATGAGATACCCTAGGCCCTTTAGTGTAAAACCAGGTTGAAAATTACCTCTGGTCGCGACTGGCACGCTTCTAGAGGTGGTCAGACTACGCTGGTGGCTGGCACCAGCGAGTGATCACGTGACCTCTTGTTGCCGCTGCCTCGCTACCAAAAGTTGAACATGTCCGACTTCGCCAGCCACTGACAAATACTCGCCGGCTTGCGGCGCCCGCTGCAAAATTTTTGGTCACATTAAGCTGACAGTAGCGTCTTTTAATTCGCTGCTGATGCCAGCCTAGTGTGACCCGTATTCAATCTGTTCCTCTATTATGATTGTGTTATTGTACATTATACTATCAATATGTCAAACTAATTACAATAAGGCAACAATAAGATACAATTGATTGAAAAATCAATACATGCACTTTTTTTACAATTAAAATTTATAACTGTGTTGATAACAGGTGATTTTTACTCCTTAGGGGCTAAAAACAATTTTTACTCCCTAGAGAGTAAAAATGTTACTTTAGACCCGGAACACATGCATTAAAACGGCCGTTTTTGCTGCAGTATGACGAAAAAACTTCATATCTTGATTTATTGATAAGCTAAGAGAGTGAAAAAAATTATTTAGGACAGTTCCAACAGGACAGTTAAAAAATAATTTATAAATTTTTTTATTTCTTTTTGTTTTCTGCTCTAGAATTATTTATAATTGATGTAAAAACAATACATTGTGGTACTTAAATGGTTAAATCTAAATTAGGGTATATAAGATTTATATTTATAGATACACGGTATTAAATTTATTGTATAACCGTACTTATGGTCACATCAGTTACAAAAGTAGCGCCGGTCACAATTTGTAGCACCGGTCGCTTGTTTATTTGACCAGCGCTACGTCATCATGAAAAATTATTATTTACGAGATAACCCAAAATACCAGGATCGCCATATTAATTTCTAGAAAATCTGTCTACCAGCATATTTTATTGAAGCAACAACATTTGACTGTTAATCATTTTGGCTTTACTTTTTATGCGACCGATGCTACAGAATAAAACCATAAAACACCTGTTTAATAAAGTATTTTATGGACCTTACAGACATCCCACTCACAACTGACAAGGAACTGGCGCTCAACCTGCCATATAACGGTTAGAAACTTAAATTACACCTTGCGACCGGGGCTACTTAACAATGTGGAGACCAAGTTTTAAAGCGTGTAATATATAAGTTACAGATTATCTATCTCCATTCATACTTGGCTTAAAATACCTACTTTGTATGGTCACCATTTCATTGAAAGGTATCAAAGTACAGTTGTAGACCCCCTCTTAACCGACCTGGTATTAACCGATAATCGGGTTATCCGCCTTCGATCGTAAAATAATACAGTTTGTTTTAACCGACCTTGCTTTGAGAGCAGTTCGGTTTAACCGCCGCTTTCTAGGAATATCGGCATTTCCGCTCCCACGCTGGGCGATGAGAACTGAACCATACGCTTATCTCCACAGGATATGACTAAGAATAAGTTATTTTGTATTGATCACAAAAAATATAGCATATTGTTAGTTTGTCATCATCGTTCGTAGCGCAAGCACATCTGATCTGATTTGTTATCTGTGCGGCAAATTTATAACATCGTAAAGTGCGTTACGATTTTGAGAATTGATTATCTTATCGCTGGAGTAAAGAAACAAGGCAACTTGTAGGGAGGGCAGGGAAGGAGGGTTAACAACTCCAAGGTCAAGTTAGTTTTTGTGCCTCTTGCTTGTATCTTTAATTTCGACAAAAATCTTGGCTAGTGTCTTTAATACTTCAACGAGTGTTATTAAGACTATTTACACGAGTTGCGTACACTACTTTACTTACGACAGTTTTTTTTAATTACTAACAATCACTACTCATAACATCTAAGAGATGAGGTTATGTTTTCGTTTATAACCTCTCAGTGCCACTGACAGTGATGCAACGAATCATTGTACCCAACGATTGTACCAAACACTAATTCCACCACTCATTATTAATTATATTGGTCTAACATCTGCTGATTAGTTGGCATTTGAAGCAGTACAATTTTACTTCATCTCTCAATCCTTGAACCTCATTGGTCCGTTACCCGTGTTGTCAAGCAAAACAACAATGCTGTTAAGTAAGTAAACAATGCTGTTAGTGAATCTTTTCAATTCTAAGAACTGAACTGGATCGGCAACTTTAAAAAACAGTTTCAGGTAAAGGATTTTTTCAATAGGGCGCAGACACAGAAAAATGAATAATTAGTTATTAGAGCATAATATATCTAATTATTTGAAATACCTACATTATGAATTACTGATTCTTAGCTAGGTAGTCTAAAATTTTTCCTTGTCAAAAGATAAGCATAATAATGTAAACAATCGTACTAAAATTTATTTATTTTCTTAAAAGTATAATATACACAGATAATAAAATATCGAAACATTCAAAACACATTCTTAAGCCGATAATTTTTTCTCTAACTAAGGCTATATACAATTTATTTACAAAATTTTACACAAAATTGTTTCTTATATTAATACTTTTCACTAATTTTTTCATCTTTTCTAGCACAACACAACATATCACACTGAAATATCAGCATACTTACACTTAAATTTTTTAACCTACAAGATATTAACATTTTGCTTTGAGTTACAAATTACCTTTACACCTCACATCTCGTTGTTGTTGAGATCTTTGCAATCTTAACACCTGAAACAAAAAGCACACTTTTAGTTTGACAAAAATCAATTAATGATAATGATCAAATACGCGAATTAAAGTTGTAGTTTATCATGTATTATTTGTCTCTTTAATTAAAGTAAGGCATAGATTTCTTGTGGTTCTTGTAACCCTCAAAAGCCTCAAATAGCTGAAGAGCGGTCTCCGCATTACGGCAGTGATGTTGGGAGTTCGGATCCTGGTCACTGCCGCAAACATTTATCAGTACAGTTCACCTTTGTACTATACCGGCTCACCCCTTACTTTGCTGGATACGTTTCACACACGGGCAATTAGTCTATGTGAACGGGCAAATGCAAGGTTTAAAGAGGCTGCCAACCTCTTAGTAAAAAAAATATGTTTTCACTTTCCTTAAATCTCCAGTAAAAGTCATTATTCCAACTTGATCTTTATTTCTAAATTTTGTCTATATATCCAGGATAAATGTTCATGATTTACTTTAACTACAATCATTTATATGACAAATATCAAAATTAATCAGTCTTATTTATTAGCTGTTATAACCCATCAATATTTTAAGTGATTATTTTTTCTGTATCAATGGCAACCTTATTTTTTAAGGCACACGTGTTTATTTTTAAGTTACTAATACATTCTTTTCTCTAGCAACATGGTGACCAACTCACCCCAATTGTGATTTTATATTTTATTTGCTTGACGTGATAAGAGAAAGTAACACAACTGTACTTAAGCGAGGAAAACGCTGTACAGTCATACTGGATGTGCAACTAGGTTATTAGAGGTGATTATTTAAATACCCCCCGCCCCAGCAAACCTGCAGACTAAGCGAATTTCAATTTGTCTAATTGGATTCATACTATAGTATTACCATAAACAAGATAAATAACAACGAAATATAAGCAGAAAATCAAAACAAATGGAAGAAATTTCAATCACATGTTTTATTTACAGTGTGTTATGATATTTTTTACTCCTGACCGTTTCGGAGAAACAGCCATAATAAGCCACGCATAACCATGGATATAACAATGAGAGCAATAATGATTATCTTTATTTACAAAACAGAATTTACACTTAATTCATACTGGTACAATAGCATGTATTTTCATAATAAATGTTCAAAGTGTCCCCCTTCTTGGTCGATGAATAGTCTAAGTCAAATATTAATAACATCTCAACTTCTTCATCCAAATTCATTTTGACTCAAATAAAAGGAGAGCATTATTTATTTATTATAATCACAAAACCATAAACAACAGTTCAATGAACACGAAATTTTAAAATATTAAAAAACAAAATTAACAATTGATCAGCTGATTGCTATTCTTCTATCAGCTAAGTTTCTTTCTTCTTTCATGTGAAAGCTTTACTGATATGTTGTTGTAAAAAGTAATACAATATCCATGGTTATGCGTGGCTTATTATGGCTATATCTACAAAATGGTTAGGAATATCAAAAAAATTACAAGAGTAAAAATATCTTAAAATTATACGTAGAATCCAAAAATATCATTGTGGTGGTTGCCATTGAAAAAAATTAAGTTGTCCGCCATTTTATTTTAATTGAAAAAGAGAAGCATGTCATAAAATGTTACAAAAAAAATAAGGCAAGTTGTTCATTTAAAGTTCTTTGAAAAGTAAACGCCTAACAAGTTACCTATTGTAACACTTTATGTGAACCACCCTATATAGGCCTACATTTTAACGAATAGTGTTTTTGGCTTCCAGGGACAAAATGAAAAAGTATATCGGTCCCGTGTCCAGGTCTTACCGTGCCACCTACGGTAATAGCTACTTCCTTATAGGAATATTTGCTAAAAGAGAAAAATATTAGCAAATGTAATGCAAGTAAGAGCCTAGTGCAACATTTGTGTTAAAATCAAGTCTAACTCAGACTCAGAAGTTGAGGGCATCAATGTATATAACTCCTCGATGTATATAATTCCTTTTATGTATATAAGTGAGAGTTATCGATGGTTGAAGGTCAGTCAAGGTGAAGGCATGAGATTGCCAAAGCTTGTTTGACTGCCTGAGGTTATTTGTCGGGAATTCCCAGATACCTTACTCAGGACCAGTTCTTTGCTTGGGTTATTTCATGTCTCTCTTTTTTCCTCACTCAGAATAATTTTGTTGGGTTTTCCTCCTCCATTCTTCTAAAGTTTAACTACATTTATTTAAAGTTTAACTCCAAGTATTTAATTCATATTTACTCGATTGTTATCTTGGTGTCTCTAATTATAACAATAAAAAAATAAACGGTATCAGCATTCCGATACATACTTTCTCAATCAATAATCTTGTCAATAACCTTTATCATGGGTAAGCGGTTGAATTAACTATGATATTTTATAGGGGAAATCACAAGTGGCAATAACTTTTGAACCAATTTTTACAGCAATGGGGGGTTGCACTCTTTTGTTTAGAATTATAAGGACCATAACATAACATACTAATTTTAATCAAAACCGGTGTTTTACAAAAATCCGATTTTCCGTTAATTTACAGGGTTTATGTGGGAAAATAACATAAGTTGCAATAACTTTTGAACCGTAATTTGTACAGCAATGCGAGTTGGCGACTGGCGTCAACTCAATGTTTAATTCTTATTTAAAGGATGGATTTTAAATTTGTGTGCACTCTTTCTTATGGTTTACATAATTAGGACATTTGTATTCAGGAAAATTTTCCATTATAATAAATTGGAATTCCACTGAAACTTAAATAATAAAAGCCAAAATTAGTTGTACATAATGTCCCCCAGTAATGTTAATTTAAAGAAGCTCACAAGCTAGCATGCTCGGTTTATGGAAAAAGGACTTTATGAGGTTAAAATGGTTTTCCGTCATCAAATTTTCGTAACAATTTTTTAGAGCTTTGAAACACTTTAAAATACTGAAGCAACGTTGTATAATGGTTGATAATGGTTACAGATAAAACTGTAAGAAAACCTCTAAATTAAAATTTCCTCTATTGTTTTTATGAGAATAAGTAAACAGTTGTAGTTTGCTTGTAGGCTATACATTTTTCCAAATTGATTTATTTTATACAAATCCATTTATATTTCACTAAAAGACACAAAGCTACTTTCCAGTAGCAGCAAACTTAATTACTGTCATAGATAAATCATACTGCTTAGTCTATGTTACTGTACTTGTAAAAAAATATCTTTTTTAGATTTGGATAAAAATCTGATATAAAGAAATATTTTAATAAAAATCCAATCAGGCAAATGGAAATTTACGAAGGTATATTAAATGTTAAAATATCACTATTTTGAACATTCAATGTAATAAAATATTACTAATACATTTTAGTACACTTTACTTGATCTAATAAAAAAAATAATATACTTCACATTTTATTACAGTTAGGTTGAAACCGTGTGTCTGATCTGATACCTGCTACTAACAGGTGTTTTGATTACCTTTGAACTATTTTTGTGAGGTTTAAGCTAAGTTTAGCTTAAGCATAATTTAAAAATAAAATTACATTCCTACCTTATAAACGTACTTCATTTCATTTTCCATAACCCCATCTTTCTCGAGGCCTTGGGCTTGTCAATACATAAGAATTGTATTCCATACCAACACCTGACGGAGGTGGCTCAGATCCGTTACTCAGACCACTAGGTAAACCACCATAGTTCCCAGCTAAACCACCATTGTTTCCAGGTAAACCACCATAGTTCCCAGCTAAACCACCATTGTTTCCGGGTAAACCACCATTGTTTCCGGGTAAACCACCATTATTTCCAGGTAAACCACCATAGTTTCCAGCTAAACCACCATTGTTTCCGGGTAAACCACCATTGTTTCCAGGTAAACCACCATAGTTTCCAGCTAAACCACCATTGTTTCCGGGTAAACCACCATTGTTTCCAGCTAAACCACCATTGTTTCCAGGTAAACCACCATAGTTTCCAGCTAAACCACCATTGTTTCCAGGTAAACCACCATTGTTTCCAGCTAAACCACCATTCTTACCTGGCAGACCACCATTATTTCCAGGACCTTTACCATTGCTGCCAGGTCTTCTGCCACTACTTCCAAATAATTTGTCATCATCTCCAGGAAAGCCTCCTACACCAAAATCATCAGGAGGGCCAGGGTTTTTGCCAGGTCTTTTATTCCATTTACCTTCGTTTTCTCTATAGTATGCGGTATCTTGTAGACCCGCGCCTGTAATACTGACGTATTCCTTTGAAATTATCTTGCCACCTGGAACTCTGATCGGAATACTTTCACTTCTGAGGTGGAATTTCCCTCCACCAGGTAAATCTTTTGAGATTTCTGAAGATACAGGTAAGGTATCTCTGGATCCAAACTGAGGAGTGGGGGAGGAGATTACATGCTGCACACACACACAGACAAGAAGCGATACTACAGTTGTCTTCATGGTCACTGCTAACTTGATACTGGCTCCACAGTCTACATATGAGATTAATATAGCTGTGGCATTGACCTGTGTTTGCCTTCTCCCTCCCGTGGGAGGGGGATTTGTGGAGTCACCATTGCACAAACAAAGTTCCTGCAGAGTTTCCTTTTACTTTCTCGGCTATCGTATATGGAGAAAGTATTGTTTTCGTAAAAATTTTCAAATTTCAGTTTTGAGTGGATATATTAGTTTTGGGTCCCCTGAGCCCAAAAAAGTAGTTTTCGAAGTAATGTCTGTGTGTGTGTGGGTGTGTACGTGTACAAACCTTCAAACCACACCTCTGTAGTCAATTTTTAATGAAATTTGGTATGTAGTTCCGTGGTATCTCCAGGCGTTTATTTTTTATTTTTTGAAACTTCAATTTTTAATGGAGATTTTCCCATAAAAATCTATAAAATAATGGAAAAATGAGATTTTCCCTAAAATGGCTTGATGGATTTTGATGAAAATGTAGTATGTTATATAGTCTTTTAATTCTGAACAAAATGGTAGAAATCCCATTTCCGTATAAATTAAGGTTCAAAAGTTATTGTAACTTATGTAATTTTACCATAAAATAACAAACAATCAGATTTTAGAAAAAAAACTGGTTTTAATTAAAATTAGTATGTTATGGTCCTTTAAATTTTAAACAAAATAATACAAACCCATTTCCGTAAAAATTACGGTTAAAAAGATATTGTGACTTTATGTTATTTTCCCATAAAAAACCATGAAATAATATAAAATCATATTTTATGGAAAAAGACAGTTTTGATTAAAATTAATGTGTTAACAAAATAGTGTAACCAGATTGCTGACACCGTTTATTTAAATTAACACATAGTAATAGCCAAGCATATACCAAAGAATTACATAAATAAGCTACTATGAAAACATACTTTGTGTATAAATACATGAAATTAAATTGAAACAGGAAATTTTTTTGATATAAATTAAATACAAAAATAGTTAATATTTAAAAATATCTACTATTCTTATAAACTAGAAAAGTGTTGCTGTATTATTAAAAATTCCATTGAGGGTTATATAATTGGTACACAACAAAAACAATTGTGGGTTGTATAATTTGGTGTAATTAATTTTTCACCTTTTTGACAAATTGGTAATTTTTTTACAATTTCATATTTAAGTTAAGGGCAATAACAAAAAATTTCCTAACGGACTTACTAAAGTGATCCTACTAATATTATAAATGAGAAAGTTTGGATGTATGTTTGTGACAAGTGAACGCGAAAAATACTGGTCGGATTGGGCTGAAATTTGGCATGATGATAGCTCACATTCCCGATTAACATTTAGGCATATTCTTATTTCAAAAATCCTTTCGGGCTCCGCCCAAGTGGCTCTGGAGTTTCCCATGTTAACCTTATGAGAAATGGAATTATTGAATCTTAACAGCTGTTTCAATCAAACAAGTTGGTTCTCTTCTATGATGTTCAATAGCATTAAAGTTACAAGGATTACCAACAGGGTGCAGCACTATTATTTCTTTTACATTTATGACAACAGCTAATTTGCAACGAAAAGGTGAGTGAGCGTAGCGAACGAACTTCAACCTGGAGGCGAGTTAGCGTAGCGAACGAGCTAACCTGAAGGCAAGTGAGCGCAGCGAACGAGCTCCAACCTAAAGGTGAGTGAGCGTAGCGAACGAGCTCCAACCTAAAGGTGAGTGAGCGTAGCGAACAAACTTCAACCAGGACATGATTGAGCCATGCGAACGAGATAATCTTGAAAATTAAGAAGTTAAACGGAGCAAAGCCCGCGGGTTACAGCTAGTAATTCATACTTTGGAAATTTGTCAATTACCTATTTAAGTTAGCTCCTAAAATTATTTCTGTTTCTTTTTTCTGTTGTATATAAATAGCTGTTGGTTTTTACCAAATTAGCTTCGTATTTGGGGTCAATACTTATAAGAGGCAACACTTACTCCTCCAACAGGATTATCAATTCATATGTGTCTAGATTTATGCAAAGCGAAATAATATTTTTCCTACAGTCACCCGACAAAGTTGGCTTCCTTGTACTGTTTATAGTACAGAAAGCTGCTAATTGCTGCATATTTATACTTTGTCGTACGGTTTATACTTTGCCGTACGGTTTATATATTGGCGCACATCAGGATTCCAACGAAACAACACAAAACAGCTTGGTTCTATTATGCACGTAATCCGTGTCGCTTGTAAATAGGTTGGCAACACTTAAATATTATAATACTAAGAGCAGCTGATTGACTATTATAACTACGATTTAACCTATTTACAAGCGTACATGGATTACATGCATAATAGAACCACGCTGTTTTGTGTTGTTAGATATTTTCTTGTTTTTTAAGATCGTAGGACGCTTTAAAGATTTAAAGATGATTTAAAGATGCTTTAAAGATCTAAAGCATTTTTTTAGGCAAGGAAACCACTTCAAATTACAAAAACATACGGAACTATATTCTCAAGTCGCAGAGCACATTTCTTGCCGAGGAAAAATAGCAGAGTGCGGAGTGATACGGACCGGGTACTTCTTTCTCTACTACCGGGTAAACATTGCTCTTGTGTGCAGCAAAGTGCCACTTTGCCCACTAGTTGCCCAAATAACTATTGAGAGAAACTTGCAATTTGACACAATAATAAAGACAAATACATTTTTAGGGCTGCCTTAAAAAATAAGCCCGGCTCAGGGGCTCATGAAGTTTTAGGGTTATTTTGTGCACAAGGAAGAGATAGATTCCCCCACAAGGTATTTGGAGAGGGGCCCAATAAATTGTCTCCTGGGCCCATAGCGCATCACATGCAAACTACAGTCGTGCACATTTTGATAATGGTGCAATAATATATTGCTAAACCTTTTTTTGTAAAATCCTCTTGTGAATTTTAAATGTAAAGCTAATGTCCTCGACCCCTGCTGATTCTTTTTTGCACTAGGTAGTAAAAGACCACTTGTTTGGTAGTTCCTGATATATATAATGTCTTCAGGAAGTTTTAAATATTTTACCTTACAGTTTATACTGTAGGAAAATATTACCCCCACCGCAGCAAACCTGCAGACTAAGCAAACTTACGTTTACCTGGTTAAATTTTAACTAAATACTTCCTTAAAATTGTCAGATTTATATCCTAACTAAATAAAATTAATTTTAATGAGTACTTAGGTTTGCTGCTACAGGTAAGGTAATGAGGTGTTTTTTTATTGAAACGTTGATAGCTTAGTATAAAATAACAAACTTGTCAAATTTGATCCAAGCAAACTACACAGCTTATTTAGTCTTCATAAGAATAACATAGGAATTTTAAATATAAGTTTTTTTTTTATTTTTCCGAAATTGTTAAGTATACAACAACGCTTCAATGTGCAAAATAATTTTTTTAAGCTCTATAAATGGTTTGAAAAGAAATTGTGAAATTTTATGTTTTCAAGGTCAATAATGAGAAAACCCAATTTTTACCCTATAAGTTAAAACCCCCGTTTCCATAGTCCGATCACGCTGGTTTGCAAACTCCTTGAAATAAACGTAGGTTTACACGTTTGTACCAAATTTCATCAAAATCGGATTATCTTTGCTCAAGTTTTTGTGCCAATGCACACACATACACATATAATATATATGAATTTGAACAGATGGTGTTTTTGGTCTCTGGGGACCTCAAAACGAAAAAGTAAATGAGTCTCGGGTCCAGGTCTTACCATGAAACCTACAGTATCAGCTTATTCCCTATATGGGAAATATGCTAAAAAGACAAATATTTTGGTTCATAATTGTAAAAAAAACTTAATTAAGTTTATTCAGCCCTCATAAAACATCTTAAAAGTACCTAATTAGGAAAATTTTATTTGAAGATCGGACCAAAATTATTTATCTAGTTGAGTCACGGACGCACACATATATATTAATTTATATCCATATATGTACACATTTTTACGGATAGTGTAGGTGTGGCCTCTGGGAACATCAAAATTTATATAATTAATACGCCAACACAAAATTTGTCGTAGAACTCCTCCGCCATTTCTTATATTTGCAAACTGATCTTAAATTCTTAAAGTCCCTTGGGGTCTGCCCCAGTGGCTTTTTAAGTTCTCATGTTATCCTTATGAAGAACACATTATGATCAGCTGGATGATTTAATTGCTGTTAATATCTTTTTGCAATTCAAGGAAACACATGTATAAACGGATTTGGTACTTTTAAGGCTAAATAAAACTGGTACGGCAAGTACATCCAATGTGTCCATAAAAGTCAAGTGATTTTAGAAGAATATGACTACATACAAGAAATCGTGAATAATAATTTAATGATTCAGTTATTCACAGTTAAGGGAAACAAAACACCATCTGAACATCAGGCCTTTTAACTCTGAATTTTCTATAATTGACGTTAAAATTCCAATTGGACCAAATCAAACTGTGACCGACAGGTTATGGAGGAAATCAGGTGGTTCTTAAGTAATGTGAACAAATTTTATCGCTATTAAAAACAAATGATTGAAGTTTCAATTTAAGAAAGAATTTGAACATCTTTTAAGAGCCTCAATAATTTGTTGCAATGATAAGTGGTTACATTAACCTTTTCTCCCATATTCAATACTTTTGTAAGTAAAATATAAAACTGTTATCAGAACAAACATTTATTTTTGAGTATTTTGCAAATAGTTTTTTTTCAACTCTTTAAGCTAATTAGAAAATAACATTTTATAAATAAATATTTTTTCCACGAGAAAGAAAAGCAAATTGCTTGTGTACTAAAAAGTGATCTTACTTTATGCTAAAATAGTCTTAACTTCTTTATAAAGAGGAAAGGATTCGACCATAAAGAAATTTACAATAACCTTTACCTAAAGATTAGAAGCAACACGGTTTTTAGAATTTTGATTTGTTTCTTCACTAGAGTTTGAGTTCTCCTGACTTTTCTTTTTTTCCCTCATTGCTTTTACCTTTCTCATAATCAAATTTCTGCATAGGACGGTTGAGTGCAGAGTTTGTACAT